TCTATGATATTGGGCTGTAGGCAACCCTGCTGGCTATTTTCTTTAGTGATGGATGGCACCCAGCCGATGGTGAGTGGTATTATCCCTGGGCTGGTAATCCTGGGTTCCAACATGGGTGCTCCCATAAGCAAGCCATGGGGAGCAAGTCAGTAAGCAGCACCCCTCCATGGCTTCTGCATCAGCTCCTGCCTCCAGGTTTCCGCCCTGCCTGAGTTCTTGTCCTGACTTCCTTTGAAGATGAACTGTGATGTGGAAACAAACCGAATAGACCCTTTGCTCCCCAAGTTCTTTGCTCATGTTGTTTCGTCACAGCAACAGCAAACCTAACTGAGACACCCATGTCCAACAAGTTTCCTTTTTAGGCAGTCGGGACCCAAGCGTACTGATGGGGCTGCCTCCTTCAGGGCGGCTCTTCTACCTCAGTTGACCTAATCTAAGTGATCCCTCACAGGTGTGCCTGAGAGCGTGTTTCCTAGGTGATCCAGATCCTGCCAGGTTGATCAGCCACATAACATCGCCCTGCCATACTCACTTATGGCTGCCAAGTAGGAAGGCAAAGGAGGATCGCAAGGAGCAGAAGAGGGGGATCCGAGTCGACTCCGCTTCCGGTTGGATACTGAGCGCAGTCATTTTCACCGCTGCCACATCGTTTTCGGTAAGCACCGAACTGATAGTCTTCAAGTTTTCTCATTAATGTTTGATGGATGTGAATACAGGCATTGCCATGCCATTAATATTACCTGATAACTGACATAATATATATTAGTTTAAAAAGATCTTTTATACTCATTTATCTTGTGTGTCCCTATAGAGGTCGGAGGACAGACAATCTGAGGGAGTTGGTTCTCTCCTTTTACCATGTGGGTCCAGGGTATTGAACTAGGGTCATTAGGCTTGGTGACAAGTGCCTTTACCTGCTGAGCCATCTCACTGTCCTAAAATATGATATTATTAGCAAAGCTTTTTATTATCTTATATTTTGCTTACTGCGTGTGTGAGTGTGCACAAGAGCATATGTGTTTGTTTTCCTATGACATGATCTTTCCACATAACCCTAGCTGTCCTGGAACTCATAATATAGACAAGGCCAGCCTTGAACTCACAGAAACATAACTGCCTCTGCCTCCCATATCCTGGGATAAATGGAATGACCCTCTCTTATTGCATTTTTGAAGTATATAAACTCTTTCTCACATACCGTGATAATTAGTATAGACCAGCACAGTTTTGATTTCTTATGATCTTTTACTAACAATTCAAAAATAATTTAACATAGTATTTTTCAAAATGTTAATTTAGTAAATGTTCACTAATTTGGTGGACTAAATTACAGAATATTTTCAAAATATTTTTACTTAGCAGAAATGACAAGAAAAAGACCAAATGTTGTTCATGTAACACAAGCATTTATAACTCCAGTTCCTGGAGCTCTGGCCCCCTATTCTGGTCTCCAAGGCCACTGCATGCACACAGTGCCCCCGGACACATGAAGGTAACGGTGATACACATAAAAGAAAAATATCTTTTTTTAAGAAAGGAACTTATGTTGACTCATAGGTGACAAAGGCAAACCTAGTTGAATTAACATGCAAATTAGCTTCTGGTTGCAGTTAACAATGTTCATCCATTGGCTGGAGAGTTGGCTCAGAGGTTAAGAGCAACTGCTGATCTTGCAGAGGACCCAGGTTTGATTTTTGGCACCCACATGGCAGCTCACAACCATCTGTAACTCCAGTTTCAGGGAATCCAGTGCCCTTTTCTGACCCCTTCCGGCACCAGGCATATATACATGCAGGCAAAATACTCACAAACATAGAATAAAATAAATAAAATAAAATAAAATAAAATAAAATAGAATTTAATAAAATATAATAAAAAAATAAAATAAAATAAATATAAAATAAAATAAAATAAAATAAAATATTTAAAAACTTTAAAAAGTTTACCCTCTACAATGGTTTCAGCTATACTCCTATTGAATTGCACTTACAATTCATATCATCTAATGATCAGCCCATTGCACTGTCTGTCTGTCTGTCTGTCTGCCTGCCTGCCTGCCTGCCTGCCTGTCTGTCTGCAGTGTTTATCAATTCTGCAAACCCATTTTTTTCTAAGCAATTAACATAGCCAGGGGGCTGAAGGCCCAGCCTCAGCACCAGAGGACACAGAGAAAAGATGCTTCAGGTGCACAGTGGATCTGACCCAGCTCTCCGATGGGATAGGGGCTGTTGACTTATCAAGATGAACTACACAGAACTTCTACCCCCTGCTTTTCTAATCCGATGTCTTACTAATACACATTTCATTCCACCCACCCAAATGATCAATGCTTTTAACTACTGATTCTTTCATGTGCGTATATCAAAGTATCTTAA